ATAGATTTATAATTAACACAACTTCAATTTTTGTTATGAATAATTCAAGCATTATGGTAGACAAATGAGTATTTTATTTTCAATGGATCCCATTTATATAAAAAAGAATAATTTCATTTTGATATAAATTTTATAATAAAGAATAAACCGTATTGCACTGCATTTGCGTTACAGCATTTTGTGGTTTTAGGCGTCACGGTTTGGTTTGTGGTTTGAGAAAATACGCAAACTGTACATGTGCTTTAGTTTGCAGGTTTCACTCTAAAATGCATTGTACTGCGTTACGAACAACCCTATCCCACACAAGAGTAGGGTTTGTTACTATAGAGGGTAAAAAGAAACCGTTTTCGTAAATACTTCTAATTTACAAAAATAAAAAGTACAAAAATACCATCACATATTTTTAAATCATATAAGACTGTGCTTTATAAAAGTAACGTAATCCATAAATAAGTAATAAACTAATAATAGAAAAAAGGGAAAAGTTAAAACCCCCCACAAATTATCTGATTTTGAATGATCAAGTTTTTAAACTCTTTTTTTGAATGATAAAACTATTGAACTTTCTAAAACTGGTTAAATACATCCATGTAACATGTAAAAATAGGTTAATGTGATAAAAATTTGGGAAAAGTCTTAAAAAATCCAACAAACTATCTGATTTTAAATGATTAAGTAACTTATTTTTAAAACAGATAAATCCCTAGTTTTTTTTTTTCTTAAATTTTTTTACCAAATACATTCATGAACTTTTTTAAACAAATAAATCTCAATTTTCTTTTGAAGAAACAAAATCATGAACTTAATTTTGAAGAAATAAATCTGCCAACTTTTTTTGAACACAATCATGAACAAAATAATATATACAATTTCTTTCACAAAAAACAAAGCACAATGAACCAATTAAACTAAAAAAATTATAACATTTTCATTACAAATTCTGAAAATACAAAAGTTATAAAACATAAATAAATACATACAAAAATATTTATACGTAAAAAAATTAAATTAATGAACTTAATTTACGCTTTAAAGATAACTTTTGTACGCATTGAAATTAGTAATAAAAATGTTATAAGTTTTCTCTATTTAATTGGTTCATTTGTACATTTGTACTTTGTTGTCGGTGAGACAAATTGTACATATCTTTTTTGTTCAAAAAAGTTGCGAATTTTACTTGTTCAAGATTAAGGAGCCGTTTGTTTACTCCATAATAATTTCATTAAAAGTTAGTATTTGAATACTTAAGAGGTGAATCTTGTTTGATAAATTTTTTTTTTGCCTCTTAATGATTTTAAAACTTTCTGAATGATTTTGTATTTTGAGCCCCCTTAAACCATTAAGTCCCCTGATTTCATTCTGAACAATTACCAAAAAACCATATTTGATTTTGCATTATATTATAAGAGCATCTTAATCTTTCTAAACGATTAATCATCCTGCACAAAACCTTTCAATAACTGCTAAACAACCTCTAAGTTCATGATTTTGTTTCTTCAAAAAATGTTTGGGATTTATTTGTTCAAGAAAGTACAAAGAGATATCATTTATTAAAAATAATGGAGACTTAATCATTTAAAATCAGATAATTTATTGGGTTTTCTAGATTTTTCTTAAATTTTTATTATATTAACCTGTTTTAACAGGTTAGAATAATGTATTTAATCAGTTTTAAAAAGTTTAAATATTTTATCATTTATTTAATGATTTAAAATTAAAAAGTTTGTTGGATTTTTTATTTTTTAATTTCAACAAAAAGGGTTGAATATGGATGAGTTTGCTCTTATTAGGTGATAATAGCCGGCTCATTTAGCCACCAAGCCAAGCCATCCTGAAAGTTACAGGTGACTTTACACCTACACATGGGTGCTCCTTGATGTATCCTGTGTGTTTTTTTTAAAATAATTAATATATAATAATTAATTGCTAATATGTCGTCAATAACGTTAAATAAAACATAGAATAAAAATAAAATGCTTAAATTAATAACATTGTTATTTTAGATCTCTAATTTGATTCTCGTTTTTTAATTTACATTTGTTTAATACTATCGTTTGTTTTTGTTGATTATCTTTATTTCAATTTTATTTTTTTTAACTTTTTTACGTTAAACTGATTTAAAAAAAAAATCATAAATAGGAATATATTTTTGATTTTAAGTTCAACATATACAGATAACTAGTATATATCTACATGTATACAATTGATACATTGTTTGCCAAAAATAAACTAACTTATAAAATAACTTATTTTTTGGATACATGTTTGAATGCACATAAACTAGCTTATTAAAATGCTATTTGGAATAGTTTTTTCTTAGCTTATTGTCATCCTTTCTAATCATAACTCTAATTAATATTAATTATTATTTATTATGGTTAATTATAAATAAATTTCAATAGAATTTAAATATTACTAAATTATTAATTATTAATAAATATTAATTCATTTTAATTATATACCATACATTATTTTCATATTATTGTTATTTTAATTGTCATTCAATATATTTAGTTATTAAAACACAAATATAACAATTTTAACAATGTTTATGTACCATATAAATTAAAATTATACTTATTTTGTTTAATAGATAATGAAAATATATTAAATAATTTGAATAAAATATTTAATTATTAAATATATTTTAAAAAAATTATTAATTAATTAGGATACGTGAGGTATACCATTTTTATTTCTATTCATATTTAAGTAATGGTTATTTAAAATCATAAATAATAGATTTTTAAAATTTATCTATACTATATTATACATTTGACAAAAACTCTTAAAATCATTTTTTATGCATGAAGTACTGTTTATTGATGCATATTACTTAAAATTCAAGATTACAAGTAAATTATGTGTAAATACAACTAATTAAAGTTTCATGTTTGAATTCGTGTAACTAACTGCAGATAAAGATAATCAAATAGAGGATAAACATTCCATTTAAATATAAAAAATCTAAAATATAATTAGAATAATCATTGAATTCTAACAAAATAGTTAATTATTATCTTTGTATAAAAATATATTATTAAACCAATAAAAATGTATTAAAAAAACTAAAAGGGTACTCGCACAATGCAGCGAGATACATCTCGATTTTAGTGTTTTGTTTTTTTTTGTCTCAATCAATGTTATAATATGGATTTATGCGATTTTGAGAAAATGATAATGTTTTTATTTTTAAATAAAATATAAATATGAAGATATCATAAAAAATGAAAAAAGAAATATTGGTATTAGTACATAATTCACTATTTAAATTTTTTCTTTTTTTGTGTATTTCCTTATTTCATATTTTTATTTTTAGTTTAATAATATTTTTTTATAAAAATAATAATTAAATATTTTGTTACAACTCAATGATTATCCTAATTATATTTTAGATTCTTTATATCTAAAATGAGATATTTATACTCTATTTGATTATGTTTATCTGCAGTTAGTTACACGAATTCAAAAATGAAACTTTAATAAGTTGTACTTACACTTAATTTACTTGTACTTTTGAATTTTAAGTAATATGCACCAATAAACAATACTTCATGCATAAAAAACGTTTTTTAATAGTTATTGTCAAATGCTTTATGATATAGTATAGATACACAAAAAACGAGAAATTTTAAATAGTTAGTTTGGTACTAATATCAATATTTTTTTTTCAATTTTTTATGACATATTCATATTTATATTTTATTTAAAAATAAAAACATTGTCGTCTTCTCAAAACCACATAAAACAATATTATAACATTAACTGAGTCAAAAAAATAAATAAAACGAAACATTTAAAAACGAGATATATTTCGCTGCATTGTGCGATTACTCTTCTAGTTTTAACAAATCCATATATTATAATATATATATATATATATATGTATGTATGTATATACACACACATAAAATAATCAATTTAAAAATATTTTAGTCATTAAGTTATATGTTTTAATTTTTTACCATATTATTTGTAATATTTAATATATTATATTATTAGAGATTTATTTCGATTACATTTTAAATATCATAATTGATTAATTTTTGAAGATGCATTTTTTTGATTATTTTATATTCTTATCAGTTACTTTTGTCAAACATGATTTGTTTATCAGTTAACTTATCAGCTATTAGTCAACAACAACTATCAACCCGAGCGTATTATGTTTGTTAGCAGTTTAATGAGCTTAATACAACTCATAAGCTTAGTAGGTTACCTATACATGACTGTTTGATGATGTCTTAATAATATAAAAATCGACTTATTCAATAAGCTTTTAGGGAAAAACTTTATATAAAAAGCCAAATTTTTCTCCAAACATGTTTCTTCCATCTATAAAAAAACCCTTAAAAACAAAAATATTCACAATCCATACAAACAAATTAATCTTTACCCATACAAAACTTAATGAAAAACCAACCAAACAACCTTTAAACACACACCATCAAATAAATAAAATTATATCAAAATATAATGTAATTTGCTTTTGATATAATTTTAAAACAACCTACTTTTAAATGCTTTATTTCTGTATTTATGACAAGATTTTTCATATAAGGAAATATAATCAAAGAAAAGTCAAGAAATATGAATAAAGTTATAAAAAAATGAAATATTTTATAATTTAACACAAAAGATTAAAACGTTACATATAATAGAGATTAATTAATTAATTAATTAAAAAGAATATATATATATATATATATAAAATGTAGACATTAATATATGTTAGACAGTTTTAGTATATGATAATAAATTTTCATTAATATGTGTACCAAAAGCAAGGTAGAGAGAATCTAGAAATGCTCATTTCTTTTCATTTCCTCAAAAACCCCAGAAATTATTTATTTAGCAAAAGAAATCAGTGTGTGAGGATTGAGGAAAAAGCAGAGAATAAAAAGGAGACCGGATGTTGACAAATTTCATGTCACTGTTCTTAGAAGGTCGTTTGTTTGTGTGAAGATTTCTTATCTGGGATCTCTCTCTCTCTCTCTAAAACCCAAAAAAACCTCCTTCTTTCTCTCTCTAAAAAACCTTCCTTTCTTTCAGAGAGAGACACTGGCCCAGCAGATCGATATTTTTTACATATACCCATCAACTGATGATGATGATGATGATCTAAGCTCCTTCAATGGCAGTTCTTTTGTTTATTGTTTCTAATAATTGTTACTGTTAATTATTAATTATTTATTTATCATTCCCACCTGTCTATTTTTGCTTCAAGATTCTTGAGTTCATGGCGACTGGAAGAAATTGTTCAGTCTTCAATTCTTGAAGCAGAGGCCAAATAAGGATGTGGGTCTAAGGTAATTTTTACATTTAATCTCTCTCTCTCCTATTAGAATTAGATTCATGGGGGGGTTTTTTGGGGGTTTGATTATTATTTTATATTTTGGGGCTTTTTTATAATTATTTTTTGTTAGTTTCTTGATTTGGGGTTTTGATAATTGAGATTAAGCATTTGATATTAGTTCATGTATCGGCTTTTGTTTACGATGAATGATGATTATCATGCGGGATCTGTTCTTTTTTGTTAATTTTTTTTTCTAAATTAGATTCTCCATTGATTTTGAGTTTCAAAGGGGGAAAAATTCACGAATTTCCTTGCCGATGGATAGGGTTCGTGGGATGCTAATTCGTGTTCATCCGTTCATAGATTGTTTGAACTTTGCGACGGATAATCTGGAATTTCGAGATTAATATTCCTGTTTAATCAAACCTTTTATTCGTCGTAATTTATTAAATTTACATCTCAAATTGCGGATCCCTAATGCTTCAGTACTGTAGTTCTTGTTTAACCTAATGAGATGGTTGAAGTTTCATTGAATGTTTGTAAAATGCGATGTGTTGCTGCATTTAATTGTCTTTAATTGAAAGGAATTTAAAGCAAACTTTGGGGCAATTTTGTACTTGATTAGTTCAACATCATCAAAATTTGTTAAAAAGATTGAAATTGGACTAGGAATCCTTTTGTTTGTGACAATAAATCTTGTAAAGTTGACTCCTTTCTTGTGAGTAAGAAAGTATTAAACAACTATTATCGAAGCTTTTGCCTCTAGTTTTATATCGAGTGATGGATTGCAATGAATTTCTTACCTATTGCCAACTGATTTTGTCGGTTTGTTGGGGGGATTACTTGCATACTTATATACGGTCGTAATGTTTACGTACTTGTTTGACTATTATACGCATTAAGATTACAATGAGATGTGTTGCTTTAAGTTTTGTTTATGTATTAACTCGGGTTTGCCTTCTATTTTCGCATTCAAACGTGTTTCATCTTCATTGAACTTCTTAAAAGATATGGGAAATCTTGTTATCGTTTTTAAATCATGGTTCGTGCTAGAATATTAACCCGAATTATAAAAGATTTGGATGAAGTAAGAGCTTTTATAGCACCTTTCATGATAGTATTGCTGAGTGAGGTTCGTGTGTAGCTGTGGATTCCATTACTTCTTTGTTCTGTTTGCGTTCATGCTTTGTTTATTTATTGTCATCATCGTTGACAATCATTCTTATATGTACATTTCTCGTAGGGCTTGCATTTAATCTTCTTAATAGGGTCTTTACTCCTTGGATATGTTGATTGTGCTAGATTCTTGAATCATGATGGATTTTTCCAAACACTAGTGAAATGTATTTGGCATTCATTCATTGGTCTCCCAAAGGTGAATCGAGTTTATTTGTTGCCATTTTGATATTTCCAAATTGTGGGTCCTATTTATCTGATGCGAAAAGAAACAGAGGTGAGAGTTGAGACCAAGATGGAGGCTGACCGAAAATGACAGAAACTAATGGAATCTTAATTTGTTCATTTGTGATGGATCTAATGCATATGCATTCCTATATTTCCTATCTAAGTGGTCTTAACTTTGGTCGTTTTCAGCATTCATGCGTTTGTTCTCCTTTTCGTTCTTTATTTCATTTTGTGGAAAGTAGGTTCTTATGATTAGTTATCGGCCATTTGACACGATATACTTTGTTTAATGAATAAACAGGTATGGGAACAGAAGTACAGTCGAAAAGCTCTTTTGAAGGGTATTACTCCATGAGGGATGTTAACGAGGATTCCAATAGTAGTAGCTGGCCTCTCTTTTACGGGGAAAAAGCTTTGAATAATGGTCATTATTACAACGGCTTCATACCAAGGTCAACCATTGCAGATGCACATCCGGGGTATGACAAGGATGCATTAAAGCAAAAAATGCTTGAACATGAAGACATCTTCAAAAAACAGGTTTTTCTCCTGACTAATACTAACTTCCACCTCATAAGAGTTCAAAATTTTGACCTTTTAGGTGTTGATTATGTTATTTATACACATTGAATTTAACAAGAATTATCTTTGCTTGTTTAGAAAAAAGTTGATTACATTTTAAACATATAAAGATTATTAGAATAGAAAGATTTTAGTACCCCGTGACCTATCTGCTGTACGCTAGTCTTAGTTGTTCTTCCCATACTCGTTAGTAGTGCTCTCTTTGTTCTCCAAGTTTGTGTGACCTATTTTCCTCACATCTGTGTGTTAACTGTTTCTGACATAAAATAGGGGTGCATATAGCAAAACCTATGTATGATTTGACCTGCTTCTGACATAAATAAGGGTGCATATAGGAAAACCTGTGTATGATTTGACTTGATTCTAACATAAATAGGGGGTGCATATAGCAGCACCCTGTGTGTTAACCGCACTCGTTACTTCTTTGCACACGCTCTCTCTGTAGCCTACTTTCTTGTTTCTTTTAATTTTTGTTTTGCAAGTCGAGGTCTTCATGGAAACAATCTCTCTACCCCTTGGGGTAGAGGCAACATCTGTGTCCATTCTACCCCCGGAACTACCTCTGTGTGAGATCTATTGAGTTCTTTTCTTTTAGAATAGGAAGATTTTAGAGATAAGAACATTGCATAAAAATTGAATTCGGAAAGTACTATGTTTGAATCTTTGGAGGAAAAAAAGGATATTTTTTTTCTTTCTAAATGAAGGATTATTTTCTTTTTGGGAGGCCTAATTTATATGACGTTTTGTTGTGGGGAAATTAGGTTTCTGAACTTCATCGTCTTTATAAAAGACAAAGAGACATGATGGAAGAGGTCAAAAGGAAGGAGTTCCATAAGCATCGGGTTTCTAATGATGCATCATCGTCTTCAAGTCTCTTGCCATCTCAAAAGCCCTACGACAAATGGCAAGTACCGAGCTTCCCGTTGGCTAACTCCACTTGTGCTAGACCTTCCATTTTTGGAGCAGAGATAAGTAACAATTCTCCTTTAAGTTGTTCAAAAGGGAATAATAGTTCAAAAGATTGTGAAGTCGTGGAGTGTAGACCTTCTAAAGTCCGAAAAAAGTTATTCGATCTTGAACTCCCCCCTGATGAGAACATTGACCATGAAGAACACGAGCAAATCCAATATAAGCAGCAGGCATCTGAAGAATCAAGTTATAAAGCTACTTCTTCTGGTCAATGTTTTAGGGGGTCTAATGGATTGGCTGATCTTAATGAACCCATCCATGCTGAAGAAGCAATTGGTCAAGTGTCGGTTGATGGTCTTAAACCAACGGTATCACAGTTTCTTGGCTCGACCCATGAGTTATCTGAGAAGTCTCAAAGTGGACGTCCTGGTGGGCCGTTCAACCCTTTAGCGATTGAGGGAAAAGGCAATGGAAGAGATTGGTTGTCCAATACGCGTGAAACAGGTAAACTTGTCTCCTTTTATCTTCTTTATCGTTAGTATTTTGTTTTGTTATCGTTCTAATGCTTTTTATATGATCCAATTTGTTTATCATGTGCTAAAAGTAGTATAACTTGGCTAAGAGATTGCTAACTGTTAATGTGAATTTAGGGCTTGAGAACTGTATATGAACTTACTATTTGGGTTACGATTCTAGGCATCTCAACACAATATGTTTCGTTATTCTCCCTTCGTCTAATAAAAAACATGATATTTCCTTTATTTCTTATTATTTTGCATATCTGTATTTCTCACTTTTACACACTTTTCACTACCACCCTACTCTTTTGAGCATAGGCCGGGTCTGTGTACATCTTACCCCTTGCATACCCACCTCAGGGTGGGATATACTGCGTTCGTTTAGTTTGGGTATATATTAATTGCAACATTTTCTTATTTGGTGAAATATCAACCTAAAGTTACATATTCGTGCATCATAGTTATCACAATCTATCGATAGATTTGATTTTGGTCCGAAAAAGATTCGTATTTTGTCATTTTTGAAGGGTATTTTAGACATTTGAGTAATAGTCAAACACTTATGTTATGGGGAAAGATCGTAGTTTCATATTTTATAGTCATAAATGTGTGAAATTTCTTCTATTTTTTTTCGTAAGCTTGTGTTGAATTGGATGGCATACTTGCTCTCTCTTAACAGGGAATAGTAGAAGCAATATGAACTTCACACCAGGAACTTATACCGAAATTTCTACAAGAATTCAGGATCATTCCCGTTTTAATCAAACCCCTTTGCCTTTTGCCACCTCACGTACATCTGGTTCATACGCTTTTGTGAATTCCTCAGATTTGGGAAATTCTTGGGGAAAGCCGAATGGTAGTTTGACTCATAAGTTGACTTCGTTTCAGAAACAACCGTCTTTTCTGTCATCTCCGCAAAGCCATGTGGCTTTTGGAGACAAGTGGCGTACGAATGGATGTTATACACCAAATGGAATCTATCGAGGGTTGTCATCTGGGTCGAAAGAACCATTAGCCCGCTTGCCGTCTGGCGGTTTTGATAATCGAAACTGCAATAATCTTGAAGATAGATCACAAAAGATCTTTAAAGGTTCAAACTTTATAGATTTGACGGATACTACAAAAGGTATGGACTTGAATACGGTTGAAACTGTGTCTAATGACGACAATATTGCGAGAAAAGGCAATCAAACAGTGATGCCATGGCTTCGAGCCACACCAGCTATCTGTAAAAATGATGCCCCTTGTGATCAGTCGAAAAACGAGGAGAAAGTTAATTCGTTGAATAATGGAAAGATTCTTGGGTTTCCAGTTTTCGGGAATTCTTGCGTTTCGAAAAATGATTCTTCATCGCTTGCTTCCACCTCTGCATCCCTTCATTGCCCTCCTGAAAATAAAAATATAAAGAAGGAAATAATGGAACACAGAGGATTCGACATAAATGTCGCTTGGGATGATCCTGAAAACAAGCAGATTGATCCGGAAGCTTCTAATCTTGAGAAAGAAACAGATACAGAAATCGAGAAAATCAAGAATCACTTCGACTTGAATTCATGTGTGACTGAGGACGAAGATTTTCTGGTACCAGAGTCTGTTAAAAGCTCGAGTGAGAAAATGAAGAAGATAACAATGGAGATAGATTTAGAAGCACCTGCTGTTCCGGAGGTTGAGGAAGAATCCGCCATTGATGTGGTCAATAAATTTGATGTTTGCAAAGACGAAGAGCTTGCAAAAGTTGCAGCCGAAGCGATAATTGAGATATCCGGTCAGCAAAATCAAGCGGGACCTATGTCTGAGGTGGCGATTTGTTCAGATGATAACGCTCGCCTCCTATGGTTTGCAGAAGTCATCGAAAACGTGGGTCCCGTCTGTAACGAGTTGGATGAATTCGAGCAGTTGACTTTGCAACTAGAGGATACTAAAGAAGAAGATTACATGCCCAAGCCTTTGGCTCCTGATTTCCGGGAGCCCGATGAAGCGGGCCCGTCGACGGTCCCGTCCCGACCCCGAAGAGGTCAAGCACGGCGAGGTAGGCCCCGGAGGGATTTCCAAAGGGACATCCTTCCCGGTCTGGTTTCTCTTTCAAGGCATGAAGTAACTGAAGATCTTCAGATATTCGGAGGGATGATGAGAGCTACTGGGCATTCATGGAACGTAGGACTGACAAGAAGGAACGGAACCAGGGGAAGGCGGAAGGCCGTGGCCGTGGAGCCACCTCCTGCCGCCACTCCACCACCTCCCCCGCCACCACCACCACCACCACCACCACCGCCGCCGCCCTTGTCGGAGCAGCTCAACAACATGGAAATGGTGGGATTGGAGGAAAGAAGCTTAACAGGGTGGGGGAAGACAACTAGACGTCCCCGGAGACAACGATGTGCTGCGGGTAGTTCGGTGGCGGTCCCGTTAACGTAATTTTTGTGCATTTTATTATTATATCTACATGAACTCTGAATTACAGAGGGAGGTAAAGCAATTTAGGGGAAGCTGATTTATGGCTTGTTGAGAGTGAAAAATTGTTGTGGGGAATGCCATTGTACATGTCTTTCTGTCATATCCCGAAATCCGGGCCGACCCGACCCAATCCATGTTTGTCGTGTTTCTTTTTGCTAACTTGGTATTATTCAGATATTTCATTTTGATCTCGTGATTTCATCTTTTTATACCTTTTACTGATTGTCGAATATACTCTGTTTGTTTAGTTTTTTTAGCTTTGTTTTCTGGTAATGACCGAAATGCCACTTGCTTGACGACACTATAACTAACAGAGTTAGGTTAGGGACTATTTTCAAATCAAATAGATATATTTATGAAGGAGGGACCATTTTCATATTTATGTACAAACTATAGGGACTAAAATTGTAGTTTACTTGTTTTTAACAAATATATATATATATATATATATATATATATATATGATGTTTTGGATTGTTTATTTAAAGTATTTATTAATTTATTTTGCTGTGATAATGGTAATAAGGAGTTTTCAATGTTTGGATAAAAAAAGAAGGAAATGCTTATACCGGTTTGACACTCGCAATAAAGAGTTTTTAGTGAGTTACTTCTAACTTATTAACTTATTCCGGTGTGGTATCGACAATAAGAAGTTTTAGTGTTTAGATGAAAAAAGAAAATGATATCTCTATCTATTTTATCAGCTTATCCGATATGATACCGCCATAAATTAATCCAAACACTCTTTATAAAATTACAATTTACCACTATATAGATTAATAAATACTTTTAAAAAAACATAAATTGTTTTAAATAATCCATCTCAACCACCCTCTTCATATTTAAAAGAAATGGTAGCAACGGCACCCGCAAACTGAAACAAAGCGATCAAACGATGATAAAGTTGAAAACTTTACTTCAGCTTTGCTTCCATCGTTCCAAATTTTTCCAACCCAGGTTCCATTATAGAACCCTAAATTCATCAGTAGCTCATCAAAAAGTTGATCCCTCCATAGCTTATATCAATTTCATCTCCTCAAACCCATTATTTTCTCTCTTGGGTTTATGCAGAAATCTGTCCTCACTCAAGGAGTTGCACTCTTCGCTCATAGTAGATGGTCAGTCAACTCAACTCAATTTGCAAACTAAACTAGTTAGTTTGTATGGTTCACTTGGGGACATGGAAAGTGCCCGCTTGGTGTTTGATCAAATGCCTAACCCAGATATTTTTTCATTTAAAGTGATGATTAGATGGTATTTTATAAATGATCTACACTTTGAAACCATTGGGTTCTACAAGTGTTTGAGGAAATGCCTCAAAGAAAATGACAATGTTGTCTTTTCGATTGTAGTGAAGGCATGTACAGAGCTGCGAGATATCGATGAAGGGAGGAAGGTGCATTGTCATATTGTGAAGGCTGGAAGTCCCGATAGTTTCATTTTAACTAGTCTTGTAGATATGTATGCCAAATGTGGAAATGTTAAGTGTTCACGAAGAGTCTTCGATGACATTGTTGGTAGGGATGTCGTTTCTTGGACTTCGATGATAGTTGCATACGTGCAGAATGATTGTGCCGAAGAAGCCTTGGTGCTGTTCAATCGAATGAGAAGTGGATTGATTGAAGGCAATCAACATACATTTGGGAGCATTATTTCAGCTTGTACAAAGTTACGAGCTTTACATCAAGGGAAATGGGTTCACGGGTATGCTATCAAGAATGGAATCGATCTCAATCCCCATTTGGTTACTTCTCTGGTCGATATGTACGTGAAATGTGGAGCCATTCTTGATGCTCGTTCTGCCTTTGACGAGCTTTCTACCGTTGATCTTGTTTCTTGGACGGCCATGGTTGTCGGGTACAGTCAAAATGGCTATCCGAATGAAGCAATTGTATTGTTCACCGACATGAAACGGATCGATATCTTGCCGAATTCTGTCACCATTTCGAGCGTGATATCTTCGTGTTCACAGTTGGGTGATAGAGAAATTGGAAAAGCGATTCATTGTGTTGGTGTTAAGCTCGGTTTAGAAGATGGTAATGTGAGAAATGCTCTTGTGGACATGTATGCAAAATGCGAGATGATTGAGGATGCCCGTTACTTGTTCGATAGTTATTCAAACAAAGATCTCGTAACATGGAATTCAATTATCAATGGGTACGGCCAAAGTGGCCGTTCTTATGAGGTTATGAAACTATTTCATCGAATGAGATCAGAAGGTTTTCACCCGGATGCAGTTACATTAGTGATCCTTCTTTCATGTTTTGCATCTTTTGGCGATCTTCGAATTGGTTCTTCTCTTCATGCTTACTCCATTAAACGTTCCCTTTCGTGTGATAATAATGTATATATCGGCACCGCACTTCTGCATTTCTACGCCAAATGCGGGAAACAAGAAGCTGCTCGTCGTGTTTTTGATGGCATGGGGGAGAAGAACACGGTTTCATGGAACGCGTTAATTGGTGGTTATGGAATGCAAGGGGATTGTAACAGTTCGATTGCCGTTTTCAACGAAATGTTGAAGGAAAATTTGGATCCTAATGATGCAACGTTTACAGCAATTCTATCGGCTTGTAGTCACACGGGAACATTTGAAGGATGGAAATTCTTCGATTTGATGTGTCGAGAATTTGAGTTTGTTCCAAAAATGGATCACTACGGGTGTTTGGTTGATCTGTTGGCTCGATCTGGTAGGCTTGAAGAAGCGTTCGACTTCATACGGAATATGCCGGTTAAACCGGATGTAAGCTTGATTGGATCGTTTCTCCATGGGTGCAGTATGCACTCAAGGTTCGACCTCGGTGAAGTGGCGGTGAGGTGGATGTTCGACCAGCATCCCATCGATGCTTCTTATTATGTGCTCGGATCGAATTTGTATGCTTCAGATGGAAGATGGAGTGGGGTTTTTGAGGTAAGGGAGTTGATGAAGCTGAAAGACCTGAGTAAATTGCCTGGATGCAGCCTAGAGCTGTACACGGACAGTACGACCCATTAGACCCACCCACCCGGCTCGTATAGAACAACGGTTTTGGAAAACCATTCTTGAAAAAGGAACGGGCCTGGTTAACGCTTTTTCTTCGGACAGGCCGGTTAGCCCGCGTATATTCTATAATTAATTAAATTATATATAGGGTTGAGTTCCGTTGAAAAAAGAAGTTAAGATGAAAAACGTTAAAAATGATCACCGTCCTTTGATATGCCAGATAAATTCCCGTGTCAAGTGAGATTTATGGATTGGTTTAAGATTAAAGATTTCTACGAAACCCTTGTTATACTTGTGCTCTTAACCTCTTTTGGGCCCGACTTCGTTTATCGAACATCAACCACCTCCCCTCCCAGATACCAATGGACCTTTTGGCCCAGCGGTTTCTTAGTGCATTCTAAAAGGTTAGGGGTTCAAACCTCAATAAAAATAAGAAGAGTATGTGGGTTTATTTGTTGCATTTGCTGTGCATAAATATTATATACTTAAAAAGAAACCACTTCCCAAATACAGTGGCAGGGGTTCAAGAATTTTACTGAATGACTGTTATTTTTAGGTGATCAACAACTTTTAAAGTTGTCTAATGTGTTTTTAGCTCACTTTCATCGTTTCGATGAATCTTTCAAAGTTTTGTAGTTGATATCAAGGAATTTTTAAGTTCTTCACTTGATTTCGAGGGTTTTCCTTTTTTCTTTTTCTAGTTTTTGATTGATTTGGAGAGACGTTTTTAATTTTCGGTTGATTTCAAGAGACTTTCTTCCCAGTTTTTACGTTGATTTCAAGGGACTTTTTCGTTGTTTTGGTTGATTTTGAAGGACTTTTTTTTTCCAGTTTTTTGGTTGATTTTGAGTGATATTCTAATATACCAGAGCACCCTTCAAAGGTTTAGCATGTGCACATTCCATACCTCAAACCAGAATATGCTCACAAAAATAAGTTGAGCGAGTTTCCGGGACCCCACTTAGGGCGCCCCTGCCCAAATATATACTATATGTGATAGACATAGTACATCTCGACTCTTGATCTTAAAAATACTCGGGGGTGAGATATTTGGTCATTGAAGAATCCCGAATCTAAAGTTGATAAACCATTGAAGAGGAAATGTACATACTCCATACTTTGAGAGTTTTTACCCGAGACATATATTATTACGTTTTTACGACTTATTTCAAGTTGAAAAAAGAATATGTATATAACTTATGATTTATACAAGTTTTTCTAAATGTAAGGTTCTTTTTAGTCCCTTCAACTTTAACCTGTAGGCAAGCCCAACATGTTTTTATAAGACGATCTTGGACAAGTTATCAAACCCGTAATTATAGAATTAGACTTAGGAGCCGTTTATCAAATACTTACCCGGTAAGCGCTTACCGGTAAAGTTCAATACTGTCACTTACTTACCATATAAAATTTTAGTCTAACCAACCATCGTCGTATGCAACAATTTACCTGGTAAGCGCTAACAATTGAAAGAGTCATCGCCCTCACTTACCGGGTAAGACTCTTAGTCTTTCTCTTGCTCTTACCGAGTAAGATTCTTGGTCTTATCATATTCATCCATTCCAGTAAAGTACGTGACTTGGTAAGTGTGATTATGTGGCTAGTTGGAAAAAGAAACATACGTTAGGCTGGTCCCGACCTCGACCTGACCAGGGCCCACAAATCATCAACTATAAAGCAGGCAGCCTAATTAGATGCATCATCTGGTCTGAACCATGCTGCACCCCTGAAGTTTTTTCATACCTGTAGTTTTCATCATTGATCTCACATTCTGAAATTCTTTCCAATCTTCTCCTTCAGCAGATATATTAGACAACAATGTGTAGTATCCTGTGTCATCAATCTTTTCAAGATTTTCTTGAATCAGCTTCATCATATCCAATCTCCTGTGAATTCGACAACCACTTAACAAAGAACCCCATATGCCCGAATTCGGTACAAATGGCATCGACCCGATGATTCTATACGCGTCATCCAGATGACCTGCTCTACTCAGAAGATCAATCAAGCAAGAAAAATGTTCCAACTTGGGTTCAATCCCGAAATCTTTCCTCATCGAGTCAAAGTAAAACTTACCCTCTTCGACATATCCAGCATGACTACAGGCCGAGAGGATGTTCATGAAGGTAATTTCATTCGGTTTCATATTTGATTCCATCATTCTATTGAAAATTGAGATAGCCAAATCAACCAAACCATGCATCCCATAAGCATCGATCATGGCACTCCACGATACCACGCTTTTGTCTGAAATGATCTCGAAAATGGTCTGAGCCATCCGGAGATCACCACATTTGGCATACATGTCAAGTAGAGCTGTATTTACAAAGGTATTATCATTCATCACACCATTAGTAATGAGCTTGTGATGAATCCATTTTCCCTTTTCGAGATATCTCAAATTTGAACACGCTTGAATCGCGCTCAAGAAAGTTACGTCGTCCATTTCTTGACCTTCCAAATACATCTGGTCGAAAAGATTCATGGCATCGACAGAGTTACCGTTATGATAAAACCCCCACATCATAGAGTTCCACCCTACAACGCTTCTATGATTCTGGTTCTTGAATACGCTATATGCTGAATCTATAAAACCGCATTTAGCATACATGTCTATGAGCGAATTCTGGACGAATTCGTTCAAGATCCCGGTTTTAGTAACATAGCCATGAACCTGAGTTCCAAGATTAGAGAAACCGATGTTTCCGCAAGCCGAGACAACACTTGCTATGGTGAACTCGTCTGGTGATATCGTGTGTGCTCTCATTTGTTTGAAAAGATCTAACGCGTCCTCTGACATTCCCTCTCGAGTGTAACCTGATACGAGCATATTCCATGAAATGACATTTCTATTCCTGGATGTATCGAAGATCTTGTGGCAAGTATTAAACTTTCCACAATTGGCATACAAATCGATCAGTGCTGGCCCCAAAATATAATCGGCATCGAGTTGTTTCCTAACGATGAATCCATGAATCGACTGGCCTTCTCTTAGATAACTTAGCCTAGCACAAGAACAAAGAATGGCCATCATGGTGATTGCATTTCCTTCTGTTTTAGATTCTTGCATCTTCTTGAAAAGGTCTAATGCTGTTTGATAGAAGCCATTGTGATTATAGCATGTGATCATAGAGGTCCATGATGATGTACAATGACTAGAAACACGGTCGAAAAGACTCTGAGCGTTGTGTAGATCTCCACATTTTCCGTACATTGCAATAAGAGAGTTATTTAGTAGGCCGTGATCACTGTTTTCAATCTTTCGTGTCACTGCGTAGCTGTGAATCGACTTCGATTGTAGCCCCAAACCCAACTCTCCACATGCCTCCGCTATACTAAGCAGAGTCACGTAATCTGGTTCGTGCCCGTCTATTACCATTTTGAGAAACAATTTCAATCCTTGACTTGGCTGACCGTTACGAACATGCATAGAGATGACGGAACTCCATGAAACAACATCTCGTTCAGGCATTTCATCAAACACTCTACGTGCATAGCTTAAGCAGGATGCTTCACCATACATGTTGAGCAACGAGGTCTGAACTATAGAATCCGACTCAAACCCACATTTAATTATCCTTCCATGAACATTTTGGCCAAGACCCAAATCGCCAAAACTGGAACAAGCTCGTAAAACCGATGGAAATATGAAGCGACTGATGAGGGTCAATTCATGCAACATATTACAGTATAAAGCAACAGCTTCTTTAAATAATCCATTCCAAACATAGCGCTTAATCAGGACGCCATACATGAAAGAATCTGGTGCAGGAAAGGTTTGAAATACAAGTTTTGCACAATCAATAGAACCCATTTGGGCATATGATTCGATGAGCTTAGTTGAAGCAAGATGACTTCTATATTGGCCTGTGGTAACAAGATGAGCATGAACTTGAACGAGTGTTCTTGTGGTGGAGCAAGATCTGAACAAGGGCATGTACTGTATCATTTCCGGTGTGTTTCAATCTGTGCAGAGAAATACATAAATTTGTTACTTGAAGAAAATTCGGAAGATTGTGGGAGATCGATCAACAACAATCGCCAGTTTAGAGCATCTGCGAAGGAGGTCTTGATAATTACCAAATTAAGAGAGTATGTAAAACTTCATGGTTCTAACCCTTTTTATGGATCATGAATCCCTTATTTTATTGGATGATGGTATCGTCTGAGATTGACTGTTAAAAAAATCCATCTTTAATCTTAAACCCACTTGGTTTCGTATATTACGGTCCATCTCATCTACATCTTATTTTATTGTTTATCTACTTCTCATCTTAACTCTCATTTTCACCGAAACACAACCCTCATCTCTCTCTCCTGAAGGGAACCCCAATACGGTCTCAAGAACAGTTTTTGTGTACACGACACATTTAGATGGATCAATCCCTCGTATTGAAGGTTGAACTTTGCATCATTTTGTTATTTTACCAAAATAAATCAAATCAAATCAAACAAACCCTGAATCCCACATGGATTAAAATGCATACAGGCCTCACCTCTACTCCGATTTTTAGAGAGCCTCACCTCTACTCCGATTTTTAGAGAGACTCTTTCCATAAAGACACCACAATCATGAGTTCAATATGAAAATGCCAACATTCAACTTGTTAATCTTCAAAGACAACAAGAAACCATCCTCAACCGAACAACAAACATTCTATATATACATGCATTCTATTTATACAAACCATTATGATTTGCATTTTCAGCGAGATCACATCAACAGCTTGGATTACATCTGTTCAAGCATCATCATCTCCCCTCCTCTCATCTTGTCCATCATATGGCACCTCGTGTCTAGGTCTATTGTACTTCTCGCGCAGCTGCTTCACGGGAATGAAGTCTCCAGCTGAATCCATACCGTAGAATAAGAAGGAAGTGTATGGATGATCAAACCTAGCCTGCACCACCGTCAATCAAGTTGCATACGTCAAGATATATGGCAACTAGGGCCCGAGGTCCTTGCATTATCATGTTGTACTTCTTTACGAGCAATATATGAACACTTACCTTATCTGGTTCTTCGGGGGCCAGTAAATTTTCCTCTGGAACTAAGAAAATGCAAGATACATATGTCAACAGGTGAGCTTCATTGGGCAAACTATAAGATCACTTTAAAAAGAAGATTGATCAACTTCTGAATCATCATCAACTATCAAGAAAAATTGTCAAAAGGAGAAGGCAAAAGTTTGCATGAATCATCAAATTTGGACCATTTCTGGAATGCACATTAAAAGAACCACCGAATGCAACAGTTTTTGTCCAAAAATTAAACAATACGGAGGTAAGATATACGCAAACATCACCTCTACCCAAAAGAGTATAGTGGTTGTTTCTGTGAAGACTCCTGGTTCGTCAGAAAAAAATTACAAAAAGATTTTGGTAAAGCACCGCGTGTTCTAAGAAGTTAGTGAAAAATCCATAATTCTTTAAAATTGAAGCGCTTCGCTTTTTGCATTTTCACAAAAAATGATGGTTTCTTTGTAGTGAGAAGTCAAAGTACAATGGTTTAAGAAGCCAAACACTCGATATAAAGAACAAAAAAATGGGAAAAGAAGCAATTGCTGAACAATTTTTTTGCAGCAAAAAACCAAACATGCTTGTTGTAAAACACAATTTTAACATAACACTTACCATATGCTACCAATAGATTGGGGTCTTCATGTACATCAACCAAGACCTGCAAGAAAATAAAGAAAAAGTAAAAAACCAAACCCTAACGGGTAGCTCAGATGGTAAGATCTTGGGTTTGCTCCATCGCAGTCACCAGTTCAAGTCCATTTGCTTGACTGTTACCTATAGGGCCCCACAGGATTAGTCAAGCAAGCTGCACGGACACCCATGATTACCAGAAAAGAGAAAGTAAAAACCATCTCTGTTTATACATTTAGATAGTTAAATAGAAGTAATGAACAGAGACTTAGAAATTTTGTGAAGATACCCCATTTCAGGAAAGGTACAAGTAAAAAAGAATTGAATTGGATGAGCAGATGCTTTTGGTAGCTAAGAGGACTCTTTCAAGAATAAAAACCAAGTGAAATAGGGAGGATTAAGACCTGATAATACGGTTGATCAGGACCACGAGTTAACTGGTCAACATGTGCACTTTCCATCCACGAGCTTGTTTCACAGCAAACTGGATCCATTCCACAAACCACAGCTCTGTATCCTATCACAACAAGACTAAATTTCAGAAAAAGAGCAACAATATCTTTTTGAGTAACAGCTGATAATATGATAGCATTGCCTAAATAACCAGAGATCAACACACTCACTTTAATCTCTACCCAAATGAACTAAAACCAAACAAAACCAACCATGTATGGATGCATCAAAGAAACAGCTGATAATATGATAGCATTGCCTAAATAACCAGAGATCAACACATTCACTTTAATCTCTACCCAAATGAACTAAAACCAAACAAAACCACCCGAAGGTAGGGTCTTGGAGGAGGGGGTAAGATGTATGCAGACCTTACTGCCCAAGAGACACAGAGGTTATTTCTGAGAAGACCCCCCCCCCCCGCCCCGGCCCTGCGAAATAGATTAAGGAACATGTCTATAGACACAATTATAGGCCACATATAAGCAAAAAAATTGTTCTTTTCTTTGAAGCCAGAGTTATAAAGAATGCAAAGAGCCTATCAAGCTAGAAAGCACACAGGATACGCCAAAAAAACGCCCTGTTTCTAACACAAGAAACCACCAACCTATCTGAAGACTCTTGGCCCACCCTCTACCTTCCCACTACCCTCTCCCGCTCTCCCGCTCTCCCCCAACATCATTCCTACTTGCAATGGACTATCCTAATCTGCCGCCTCCAAGACTCCTGTCTAAGATCATGCCCTAGGAAAGAACTCACGCCTCCATGGTTCCCTAAAGACTTGAGGAAGGAAGTCTTTATACGGTGTCCTTCACTTAAATTTTGCGAAGAGGCTGTTTCTATCATTCAAAGTCTCAAACATGTAACTTAATGGTCAAAAGAAGTAGGCTTACCAGTTGCCCCTAGGAAATAGGCCAATTAAATTCCAACCGATCCCGACATAACATCCTGTATAAATACAGTCGTATCCAAATTTTGGCAGTATATTAGAGTTGCAACAACACCTAAACAGTTTCTTTCTTGCTCCAAAATAGAACTTCACCAAAATGTTAAAAGTTCAGAAGAATCCATATCTTCTTATACCTTATGCTGTGCCCACATTGTTTTTATTGAGTTTCATGCAAAAAAATATCTAGAAGCTTTATTTTGGTAATTTGATTGTTTTTTACGACACTTTCATCATCCTTAAATAAATGCAACATTTGAGTGGGTAACCAGTTTAACTTTAACCATAGGGCTAGACTATTAGTCAAATGTCTAAATATCCTTCAATAATCACAAAATAGAGGAATCATGTTGACCAAAGTCAAGACAATCAATACTTTTATATTATGGGGTAAAGAGGTGCTTTTGATTGAAACTATTCCTAAATGTGAAATATTGCGTTTGTTTTGGGACACAACAGAAAGGAAACAATAGCTTAAATGAGCTTCAATTGAAATGAATACTGTTATCAACAAATTTTTCCAGAAAAAATAAATAGAAGGCACGAAGATGGCACATGAAAAGAATCATGAAAAAGAGTGCCCAAATGGTTATCTTTGGATGTTCATCGTAATGATCTCATTTTTGGTTAACTGAATCGAATGAGTAAATTAGCTCCTACAATTTGGGACAGAGGAAGAAGAAAGGGTTAATTTTATTTGGTTAGAGTACTGGTCTGACAGATGTTATAACAATAATCTGGGAAAAAAGTGGAAGACATGAGAGAGATATACCGAACTTTTTGTGCCTCACTTTCTGGCCTAACCGAAACTCAAATTGAGCTTTTTGGAAAGCTTGGGCTTTTATCGATGCAGCCAATGAATCCGCCTCTACCTTGGAAATTTGATCACGTATTTCAGCTGCCAGAGCATAGTTTTCATTTTCGATTGCGTTCTGCAGGTCTGCTCTGCAGAAGAAGTAATATGACAAATGAAAAAGAATACAGAAGAATAACACAAAATATCACACATTTAAGATATTGAATCGGACAAACCCCAATTTTGCTACATAAGATTTATGTGAGACTCACCGCAATCGCAAGATGCTTATACCCTTGTCTTGAGCTTCACTTTTTGAAGATAAACCCCTCTTCGTTTCTTGCTGCTTGATAACTTCAGTTTCAACCTTGTAAAAGCATGGGATAGTAAGCTTATACCACAACATGATTTACCAGAATTTAACCACTAGTATAGAATGCCAATAGAGTTCAATTTATTGATTTTGGTATCTGTGGGTGGTTATCCACCTGGTCTCATCCTTTGTTCTTATTCAATATAATGTTAAAAATATTTGATCATGTTTATTGATATCTTCTGTACATGAAAATCGTAAATATGTCCAAGATTGCCTGTCCAACTTTTATGCAAATCACTGTCAAGCTATCAAATCAATGAGGAATGGAACTCACTTCTGAAAGAAAGCAGTATAATATCTTGTAAAGCTATTTGATCGTCATCATTATTACAAGAAAATCAATAATATTGATTTGGGTCCAAGATGGAATTTTTGACATCTGACACATAGTCGGACAATTCCTTGACCTATATGCCCAGTAAAACATTGCAACATTCATGGAAAGAAGAGAGTACCAATAATTGAATTAGATAATCAAACCTCATTGAGCTTGTTTCTCAATTGTTTTGCAATATCATACTCCTCCAAATTTAACGCGTACTGCAAATACGAGATAACGTAGAATTGATAAGCAAATCAATTTTTCAAGCAAGTCAATCTAGTTAGAGACACCTAATCTGTACAGCAACAATAATAAGACAAAGAATGAAGGATGTGAAAACCTGTACTCTAGTTGCCAAATCCAACTGGTAAAAGAATATCAGTATATCCTCGTTGGTGCTATCACTACGCTCTGAACTCGCATCTGAACCCTGGTTACCTCCTCCTTTAAAAAGCCAACCTGCTTCAACCCTCGTGTGTTGCCGTCTAGAGATATCTGAGGGGCTCATAAATGGGATGCTTTGTACACATTGGTGCAGAAGAAATCTTTTTTCAGTCCCAAAAATTAGGTGGCTTCTCTTCAGTCTCAAATGCCTCCTTGAAGCATTGGCAGAGCCACCTATACTACTGTTTGTGGATGCTGTAATGGTGGTTACTGACATTCTTTTGTATGATAGCACAGACAACGTTTAACTTCTTCTTTACTTAAGATAACCACGCTTTGCCTTCTGTGTTACGTATATGAAACTGGTAGTGGGATAACTTTATCAATACATCAACTAAAATTGGTAGCAAAGCAAATCAATCAATAGATGCAGGAACTGAATACAAATGCAGCCTTAGAGCTATAAAGTAGCTTATTATCTCCATCCATACTAACATTATAGATAAATTTGATACTCAAGTATGAATCTAGTACATTTTAGTAAAAGATTAACATTGATGTAGCTAAAAGATTTTGAATAAATCTATGACAACCACCAAGTTACCATCAAACTCACCATTTTCTAAAAGAGACAATGTAGTTAATATGATAGAGAACCTGCATCAACTGAAATCTTTGTTCTATAAAAACTATGGTTATAATTCTTTATGGTTGCCATAGATTTTTCCTCATGAAATTGAACGTGAGCATCTTATGTACTTTCTATAAAGTTTATGTACGCTGATATAAAAAAATTAAACACTGAATGTTGTCTTCGTTTTCAATGAACTTGTAAATTCAACATAGTTATATGACGCTTTCAAGAATTCAAAAGCTTTAGGGTTCATCGTTGAACAATAGCTGAATTAACCCAAACCGATTTCTAACCTGAAACACTTTTTCCTTCCGCAAAAGACAACACGCTATCAATACACCGACGAATCGATACTTGACGATTCTGAAACAAATGTAAAAGAAACTAGAGCCAGTGTAAGAGAAGAAAAAGATCCCAAATCCAGTGAACTAGAAGAATTTGAAAGGCGAGCAGTGAGATTACTTACAAGAAAAATGGAAATGAAGGAGAAGAGCGAATACCACACGATTGGAACCCTAATTCCTATTTGTGTGTATTTGTTTCAGCCTCAGAATTTGGCTGGTGTAAATCGTGGTTGTTTCTGTGTGCCTCAGAACTCACTGTCAACTGCTACAACCGTGATCGCTTTTTCGCATAACAATAGAGAGTGATCACCATTCTTGTTTTCTCATTCGTGGATCAACCAAGATATCTGTGTCTTGATTCCATCCGTAATTACAAAATCTAATCATGAGTTGGTTAATCACAGCAGAATCTCTAAGGGTGCGTTTGGTTTGCTGGAATGTTTTTGAGGGATTTGGATTCCCAGGATTTGGATTCCATGGGATTTGGATTGGATTTAAAAATCCAATCCTGTGTTTGGTTTGCAGGATTTGGATTTGGATTTTTTTTTGTAACAACATATGAAATACAAATCGGAACATTAATCGAAACAGCATATGAACTTAATCGGAACAACATATGAAGTACAAATCGTCACAAAATATGCAGAAATTGAAGTACAATATGCAGAAATCGAAGTACAAATCGGAGCATTAATCGGAACAGTGAAGTCGTAACAAAAATCGAAGTAAGTAGAAATTACTTGTCTTCGGCGATAGAGACGAACACGGTGGGAGAAAGCGACAGAGATGGAGACGACCACGGTGGGAGAAAGCGACGGAGTCGGAGACGGCCACCGTGAGAGAAAGCTACGGAGCCGGCGATGTTTGAGGCTGGAGGAGACAGCGATGTTGGAGGCTGGAGGAGATGGTTAGGGATGAAAATGGAGGATGCGATGGAGACGACGGTGGGAGAAAGCCACGACGATGGAGAGGACCTCGAGGGAAAGCGACGGCGACGACCTCGGGGGGAAGCGACAGCGACGGAGACGACCTCGGGGGGAAGCGACGGCGGCGGAGACGACCGAGGGGGGAAGCGACGGCGACGGAGATGACTGGGAGAAAGCGACGGAGGTGAGCGATAAAAATGGAGGAGAAGATGGAGACGGGTAGGTTAGGGCAAAAAGAATCCCACGGGAATGGATTCTAAAATCCTATGTCTAAGGGAAGGATTCTTAAATCCATCGTTCATGGGATTTCAAAGGAATCCTTGGATTTCAATTCCTCACAATCCAGCAAACCAAACGCTGGATTGGAATGGATTTCAAATCTAAATCCCCCCAATTCCATTCCAATCCCGCAAACCAAACGCAAATGTTTGTAAAAACCTTTTTCTTAATTTTCCTAAAACAAATTTGTTTGAAAACAACAATGCAACGAGATATATCTTAATTTTAATGTTTTATTTTATTTTGTTTATATAAATGTTTTAATATGGTTTAGAATTAAATTGAAATAATAATAAGATCTTTAGGTTCTCTATAATTTTTTTAAAATAAAGAACCAAAATTTAAAATTTGTAAAAAAAACTTACATT